TGGAGCTAGCCATGGAGCTAGCCATGAAGCTAGCCATGGAGCTATCCATGAAGCTAGCCATGAAGCTAGCCATGAAGCTAGCCATGGAGCTAGCCATGAAGCTAGCCATGGAGCTAGCCATGAAGCTAGCCATGGAGCTAGCCATGAAGCTAGCCATGAAGCTAGCCATGAAGCTAGCCATGAAGCTAGCCATGGAGCTATCCATGGAGCTAGCCATGGAGCTAGCCATGGAGCTAGCCATGAAGCTAGCCATGGAGCTAGCCATGAAGCTAGCCATGGAGCTAGCCATGAAGCTAGCCATGAAGCTAGCCATGGGAGCTAGCCATGAAGCTAGCCATGGAGCTATCCATGGAGCTAGCCATGGAGCTAGCCATGAAGCTAGCCATGGAGCTATCCATGAAGCTAGCCATGGAGCTAGCCATGGAGCTAGCCATGAAGCTAGCCATGGAGCTATCCATGGAGCTAGCCATGAAGCTAGCCATGGAGCTAGCCATGGAGCGGAAAGCCAGGGCTCAATGCCAGCAGCAACTGGAGGAAACGATGGTCAAATGACATTGAATACACAGTGTTAAGAATAAAAAAGAGGATTAACTTGATTTTGCTCGTTAATTCCTCTCTGATCCCGGATTCTTGAGCCTCAATATGTGGAGGGAGAAAGAGCAATCATACGGCATCAGACTTCAGATATCCAGAGTTTTATCCAGAGAAATTCAATGCAAGAAGAATGTTACAATAAGCATCTCACCTAGATTATCAAAAGTCCAAGACATGACAAAACAGAAACAATTACACAAGTTGAAAGTAAAGGCAGAAAAATGCATTTTTCCGGAAATTGCGAACTCGGGCAGAAAGCAATTCGAATTCTTTGTTGCAAACGAAAACTTTTATAAGCCTGCGCCTTTCTCTAAATGTAAATATATGCACTTAATGTTACTTTTATTACCTCTGCTAAAGAGCCCAAAGGCAGATCTATGGATTGTCAAACTGGGTCTTTGCCGTACCAGGCGTCCCTGCAAACCCTCCCAGAGCTAAATTTACGACCTATGCCTGTTTTGGTTTTCTGCCTCAGTGATTGAACTAGAACGTGTTTGTGTTTTACTGAAACAAAATCTAATGCTAAATAATGACTATAACTTTGGATCTAAGAAGTAACTAATTCAAAACATGCTTAAAGAATTATATTTAATTCTAATAAAATTATTTATAAAAAGTTTTAAGATCCTAGTGAACTTTTTAACCACACTAAGGAATTTGTTAATTGTCTGGCAGATAGATGTCCTGTCTAAAGAGAGTTAAGGAGTCTCAGTCTGTCTTTCTTTAAAATCCTCCCTATACAATTCATGTAAAATTTTGAGTGGCCAGTTGTTTTAGTTTGGATCTTTATCTAAGTTTGTCTTAACGTAAAAGTTAGCTTGTGTACTATTGTGCTACTTTAAAATTCTATTTCAACAACAGGAACCCAACGAGGAACAGGGAACAGAGGACCAGAGGGAACTAGAAACAACATCTCATCTCATCAAGGGGAGATGAGACAACAGGAGACTCAGACACAGAAACCTGCTGACCTTAAATACCCTCTAAGTCTTAAAGCAGAAGAGGTTCATTTTAAAATTCTCTATAACATTTTTTCATCCAGGGAACTATGAAGACAAAGATTCAACTTTGATACCAACAGCTGGACCTTCTGTGACAACAACATTGAAACAACAGATCATCTCTTCTATTGTGTTGTTCTATTGGAGAAACTTTCAGGCCTGGATCTCACCAAAACTTTCCTTACATCATCCCTTAAAAGGAGAGAATATAATATTTGGACCCACCCAGAGACAGAAGAACCGACATCATTCTGAACAACCTGCTGATCTTCGCCAAATTCTTCATCCTCTGCTGTAAATGAGGAATAGAAAAGCTGACTTTTCAGCTTTTAAAAACCTTTTGATGGAGAACCGCTTCAGGACCTTAAAACTGATGAAAACAAGCAGGGAATGCAGCTCTGACCCGATAATGATCTGAACTGATTTGAGACCTGAAGCCCCTTTGCCTTTATCTGTTTGTTTTTGTCGTTCTACTTTCTCGCTGTTTGATGTCTGACAAATTTGATTTATTTCTAATTTAACTTTTTTATTGTTGTCTTATAATAATATGTGTGCTTTAAGCCTGTAAGACTCGATTTCTCCAGGAATGTACATGCCACGTGATCTTGTAAATAACAGTGAAAAAATAACTCAATCTGTCGCTTCCGCCATCTTGGTGGCTCCGCTGGTGGAGAAATGATGCGAACCCCAGGTGACGTCAGCTCAGACACCGGAAGTGACCTTGGTTTATAAGCGCAACCTTCAAACGGGCCCCCTGGACCCAAAGCTTGAGGTTCTGGTTCAAAACTGAACTCCGGGCCAGTACAACAAGGACTCGGGTCAGCTGATCCACCGGAACCATGAAGCTCCTGGGCCGAACCGGAACCGCCCTGTTGGTGGGAGCGGGGTTCGGAGCCGCAGTGAGCCGCCTGCTGAGCAGGCGAGGCCGGGCTGAGGAGGAGCCACAAGCCGGGCTGTTGGGGTGGGTTCCGGTCCTCCCGGTACCGGAGAATCTGACCGTCCGGGCCTCCGAACTCGCCGTGAGTGAACCGCTGTGTCTGTGCGAGGCTCGTGACCCGGTTCCGACCCATTTATCAAGAACCTTTGGGTTTAGTCTGAGTCCTGAATCAGAACTACTTTAAATCCAGCAGGTTAATCGATAATCAAACTACACATGACAGGCTGATCAATACTTCCTATCAGAAGATACAATTCATTCTACGGAGATTCTACATTTATGAATATGTGCAATAATATTAAGATATTTAGATTAATTGCAAATTGTTCCAATAATTATCCTGGTGACTCATTTTTACTGATCAATTTCTAAATAAAGATCAATAAAATTATGAATGAAATTATCTTGTTCATTCAAAATAAAAGCACCAAATGTAATAACTTTATCCGCCAGAAGGGGGCAGGCCACAACCATCTGAATGTTGGAAATGAGTCAGATATTTATTGATCCTTTCTGTAAATCAGCTGTTATTCATACAGATGTTAGAAAATACTTTTACTGGCTGTTAGCAAAGCTGATGAAACGTTTTAGCATTAAAATCACAACAGGAAATTTTCACGATATGATAAATAAATGAGTTTCTGCTGTTGTTTAACTTTAAAAGCCTTTAACAACAAAGTCAAGAACATCTTCATGCTCTTTACTGCAATTGTGATTTTTATCTTTCCTAAATGAAATGATTTTTATTTCCAGTTTTAACTGTTGGACATAAAGAACTTTACCATAAACTTAATATTCTTCCATAAACAGTTAAATCTTTTTGCAACAATTTGTTTAAAATCATTAGTTTTCAGTTCACCTTGTTGCTATGGTAACATGTGGTTCTGACCCACAGCAGGTTGGATCCCGGATTCATTCAGGAAAAAAAGCCTCTAAACCGAACCTGGAAGGGTTGCATTATGTATCGCTAAGCTAACCCGATGTTAGCTTCACCCTGAGATAACTCTGGGTTATATTAACCTAAGCAGTCCACTCTGACAGAACCAGAACCGGTCGACGGTTCTGGTTCCACCATCCCACTGACTGGTCTGTTTGGTTGAGTCCAGGTGAGTCCAGGTAACTCTGGAGCTGTGATGAAATATGGCTTCCCCTCACTGGCCAACGTCCGGTCCAGAGAGTCCTACGTCACATCGTACGATCCTCGCACACGCACGGCATCCTGGGTAATTGAGAGGCTGAACCCCGCCTCCCTGACTGGGCCGTCAGACAGGAAGTGCTGTGAGTTCAAAGAGGACGACAGGTGAGTAGAGGTTGTGCAGGCAGGTGAGTCGGGCGGGTGGATGGAGTTTAACCTGCGACGCGTTTCATCGGCAGCGTCCACGTCTTCCACAGAGCCACGAACGCAGACTATAGGGGGAGTGGCTTCGACAGGGGTCACCTGGCAGCTGCAGCCAATCACAAGTGGAGTCAAAAGGCCATGGAGGACACCTTCTACCTGAGCAATGTGGCTCCACAGGTAAAACACACCTGACTCAGGTTACAGTCTGGGTGTGTACACGTAGACCACTGAGGACCAGTCAGGAGACAGGAAGGACGACGTCCTGTGGGGTCGATATGATCAATAATCTAATCAATAACCGATGGGAAAGCAGGTTGGAGAACAGAACAGGATTCACCTGCCCAGGTGTCTGTGGTTCCACTCTCTCACTGACCAGGTTCTGACCCAGAATGAACCAATCACATCGTCTTGTTTGGACTCAGCCTTGCATTTACGTCCCGCCCACCGGAGCCTCTGATTGGTCAGGTCTATTTAATTTTCTCCACCTGCTTCTGCAGAACCCTCACCTGAACCAGAACACCTGGAACAACCTGGAGAAGCTCTGCCGCAATCTGACCAAACAATACCTCAACGTCTACGTGTGCACCGGCCCGCTCTACCTGCCCAGGTAAACTGTTCTTTTGTAGTTAGGGGGCGGAGCTTAGACTCCAGGTGTGATTTGTTTTACAGGCAGGAAGACGACGGGAAGCTCTACGTCAGGTACCAGGTGATTGGACGGAACCATGTCGCCGTGCCGACTCACTTCTTCAAGGTAAGACTGGACCGTGTGATGATGTCATCAGCTACCTGCCTGTGTTCTGAGCCCACCTGGCCCCGATCTCCAGGTGCTGATTCTGGAGCAGGCGGACGGCCGGGGGGTGGAGCTCCGCTCCTACGTCTTACCCAACCAGCCGGTGGATGACAAGCTTCCTCTGGAGCGTTTCCTGGTTCCCATAGAAACTATCGAGCGAGCGTCGGGACTGCTGTTCGTTCCGAACATCATGAAGCGGACGAGCAGCCTGCAGGCCATCGGCGACAAGTGAACTACAGCTCCCACAATGCCCTGCTGCAGGCTGCGCAGTCGCCAGGGAGACGCATCGTCGTTTCCTGCAGTCGTCATGTTTTTCATTAGAGGCAGCTGATCTGAAAGTGTTTCTGATGTATTTATTGATCATCATTTAGTGGAAGTAGAAAGATAATGACGCTCAGTCAGCTCAGCTGTCAAACTGATTTAAAACAAAGTTAAAAACAGTCAAATCTGGTCAGCATATGCAAGATTCCAAAATAAAAGCATCCAACAGTCCACTTCCTGTCCATGATTGCAGCCCATCCCACTCACAGATGACGTGGGGCTTTCAAATAATCCCTGTATTCTGATTGGAGGTCAGATGTCGTCCATCTCACTGTCGTCTTCCAGGTCTGAGTTAAAGATGTCCGACAGCTGGTACCTGTCCTGGCTGCAGCGGTCCTGTAGCTCCGCCGACCCGTCCAAAGACCTCAGTCGCTTCTGCAGGACAGGAACCACTCGGTGGTACAGGAAGTCGACAATCTCTAAGGTCAGAGGGAAAGGGAACGCGTAAGAACATCCTTCCTGTTGGTCAGAACCTCTGCAAAGCACACCTGCGTACATATCAACCCCCTTGACTCTGACACCTTGAAGAAAGACCTTCAGAGGAAAAGCGAGCTACACGTTTCCTCTACATTTCTTACCACTAGCTCTTTTTAACATCTAACTCTTAGTTTTTCTCATCCTGGTTGCAAAGCACTAAAATGTCTTTAGTAGGTTTGGCATCATCCACCAGAGCATCAGCTCTCAGTTTTAAGATCATATTTAAAATTTTTATCTGATTTAGCGTTAAATCCTGATAAGATCATTACAGAGGGCACTTCAAAATTCACAATACTGGGGGCCGTAGCCTGATAGCACCCTGCCGTACTAGCTTAGCCTGATAGCAGCCTGCCGTACTAGCTTAGCCTGATAGCAGCCTGCCGTACTAGCTTAGCCTGATAGCAGTCTGCCGTACTAGCTTAGCCTGATAGCAGCCTGCCGTACTAGCTTAGCCTGATAGCAGTCTGCCTTACTAGCTTAGCCTGATAGCAGTCTGCCGTACTAGCTTAGCCTGATAGCAGCCTGCCGTACTAGCTTAGCCTGATAGCAGCCTGCCGTACTAGCTTAGCCTGATAGCAGTCTGCCTTACTAGCTTAGCCTGATAGCAGTCTGCCTTACTAGCTTAGCCTGATAGCAGTCTGCCGTACTAGCTTAGCCTGATAGCAGTCTGCCGTACTAGCTTAGCCTGATAGCAGTCTGCCGTACTAGCTTAGCCTGATAGCAGCCTGCCGTACTAGCTTAGCCTGATAGCAGTCTGCCTTACTAGATTAGCCTGATAGCAGTCTGCCGTACTAGCTTAGCCTGATAGCAGTCTGCCGTACTAGCTTAGCCTGATAGCAGTCTGCCGTACTAGCTTAGCCTGATAGCAGCCTGCCGTACTAGCTTAGCCTGATAGCAGTCTGCCGTACTAGCTTAGCCTGATACCAGCCTGGCGTACTAGCTTAGCCTGATAGCAGTCTGCCGTACTAGCTTAGCCTGATAGCAGCCTGCCGTACTAGCTTAGCCTGATAGCAGTCTGCCGTACTAGCTTAGCCTGATAGCAGTCTGCCGTACTAGCTTAGCCTGATAGCAGTCTGCCGTACTAGCTTAGCCTGATAGCAGTCTGCCTTACTAGCTTAGCCTGATAGCAGTCTGCCGTACTAGCTTAGCCTGATAGCAGTCTGCCGTACTAGCTTAGCCTGATAGCAGTCTGCCTTACTAGCCTGATAGCAGCCTGCCGTACTAGCTTAGCCTGATAGCAGCCTACCCTACTAGCTTAGCCTGATAGCAGTCTGCCGTACTAGCTTAGCCTGATAGCAGTCTGCCGTACTAGCTTAGCCTGATAGCAGCCTGCCGTACTAGCTTAGCCTGATAGCAGCCTGCCGTACTAGCTTAGCCTGATAGCAGTCTGCCGTACTAGCTTAGCCTGATAGCAGTCTGCCTTACTAGCTTAGCCTGATAGCAGCCTGCCGTACTAGCTTAGCCTGATAGCAGCCTGCCGTACTAGCTTAGCCTGATAGCAGCCTGCCGTACTAGCTTAGGCTGGGTTGGCATCATGAACAGAGTCTGCAGTCTTTCCCACTCTGCTTTGTGTCGATATGTGAAGGAACATCAGAACCTGCCATAACTCTGTGCTCTCTGACCTTTTTTAATGAGTTTACTGAACTGATTATTACAACCCTGAGAGAAAATCTCTTAATCAGACAGCACTGTAATAACCTCCATAGAAAACTGTAGTGTTTAATAACAACGATCCAATTAGAAAATATGGACTTTAAACAGAATTGTTTACATTGTTCCACAGTGGGATCAATAGAAATGAATATTGATCTATAGAAATCAGTAAAAATCAATAAAAATCAGGCCTCACTCACCTCCAAAAGACAACAAGTGGGAATGTGGAACTTTACGTTGTTTAAGCCTGCTGAACATTCGCTGGACGCTCCATGGGGTCACATCACTGCAAGCAGTACTATAGTCAGTACCATTTAATACTAGTCAGTACCATTTAATACTAGTCAGTACCATCTAATACTAGTCAGTACCATCTAATACTAGTCAGTACCATCTAATACTAGTCAGTACCATTAAATACTAGTCAGTACCATCTAATACTAGTCAGTACCATCTAATACTACAGTCAGTACCATCTAATACTAGTCAGTACCATCTAATACTACAGTCAGTACCATTTAATACTAGTCAGTACCATTTAATACTAGTCAGTACCATCTAATACTAGTCAGTACCATTAAATACTAGTCAGTACCATTAAATACTAGTCAGTACCATTAAATACTAGTCAGTACCATCTAATACTACAGTCAGTACCATCTAATACTAGTCAGTACCATTTAATACTAGTCAGTACCATCTAATACTAGTCAGTACCATTAAATACTAGTCAGTACCATCTAATACTAGTCAGTACCATCTAATACTACAGTCAGTACCATCTAATACTAGTCAGTACCATCTAATACTACAGTCAGTACCATCTAATACTACAGTCAGTACCATCTAATACTAGTCAGTACCATCTAATACTAGTCAGTACAATCTAATACTACAGTCAGTACCATCTAATACTAGTCAGTACCATCTAATACTACAGTCAGTAACATCTAATACTAGTCAGTACCATATAATACTAGTCAGTACCATTTAATACTAGTCAGTACCATCTAATACTAGTCAGTACCATCTAATACTGGTCAGTACCATCTAATACTAGTCAGTACCATCTAATACTAGTCAGTACCATCTAATACTAGTCAGTATCATTTAATACTAGTCAGTACCATCTAATACTAGTCAGTACCATCTAATACTAGTCAGTATCATTTAATACTAGTCAGTACCATTTAATACTAGTCAGTACCATCTAATACTACAGTCTGTACCATGTAATACTAGTCAGTACCATCTAATACTACAGTCAGTACCATCTAATACTAGTCAGTACCATATAATACTAGTCAGTACCATTTAATACTAGTCAGTACCATCTAATACTAGTCAGTACCATTTAATACTAGTCAGTACCATCTAATACTACAGTCAGTACCATCTAATACTAGTCAGTACCATCTAATACTAGTCAGTACCATCTAATACTACAGTCAGTACCATCTAATACTAGTCAGTATCATTTAATACTAGTCAGTACCATCTAATACTAGTCAGTACCATCTAATACTAGTCAGTATCATTTAATACTAGTCAGTACCATTTAATACTAGTCAGTACCATCTAATACTACAGTCTGTACCATGTAATACTAGTCAGTACCATCTAATACTACAGTCAGTACCATCTAATACTACAGTCAGTATCATCTAATACTAGTCAGTACCATCTAATACTAGTCAGTACCATCTAATACTACAGTCAGTACCATCTAATACTACAGTCAGTACCATCTAATACTACAGTCAGTACCATCTAATACTACAGTCAGTACCATCTAATACTAGTCAGTACCATCTAATACTACAGTCAGTACCATCTAATACTACAGTCAGTACCATCTAATACTAGTCAGTACCATATAATACTAGTCAGTACCATTTAATACTAGTCAGTACCATCTAATACTAGTCAGTACCATTTAATACTAGACAGTACCATCTAATAATACAGTCTGTACCATGAAATACTAGTCAGTACCATCTAATACTACAGTCAGTACCATCTAATACTAGTCAGTACCATCTAATACTAGTCAGTACCATCTAATACTAGTCAGTATCATTTAATACTAGTCAGTACCATTTAATACTAGTCAGTACCATCTAATACTACAGTCAGTACCATGTAATACTAGTCAGTACCATCTAATACTACAGTCAGTACCATCTAATACTACAGTCAGTACCATCTAATACTACAGTCAGTATCATCTAATACTACAGTCAGTACCATCTAATACTAGTCAGTACCATCTAATACTACAGTCAGTACCATCTAATACTACAGTCAGTACCATCTAATACTAGTCAGTACCATCTAATACTACAGTCAGTACCATCTAATACTACAGTCAGTACCATCTAATACTAGTCAGTACCATATAATACTAGTCAGTACCATTTAATACTAGTCAGTACCATCTAATACTAGTCAGTACCATTTAATACTAGTCAGTACCATCTAATACTACAGTCAGTACCATCTAATACTAGTCAGTACCATCTAATACTAGTCAGTACCATCTAATACTGGTCAGTACCATCTAATACTAGTCAGTACCATCTAATACTAGTCAGTATCATTTAATACTAGTCAGTACCATCTAATACTAGTCAGTACCATCTAATACTAGTCAGTATCATTTAATACTAGTCAGTACCATCTAATACTACAGTCTGTACCATGTAATACTAGTCAGTACCATCTAATACTACAGTCAGTACCATCTAATACTAGTCAGTACCATCTAATACTACAGTCAGTACCATCTAATACTGGTGAGTACCATCTAATACTAGTCAGTACCATCTAATACTAGTCAGTACCATCTAATACTACAGTCAGTACCATCTAATACTACAGTCAGTACCATCTAATACTACAGTCAGTACCATCTAATACTAGTCAGTATCATTTAATACTAGTCAGTACCATGTAATACTACAGTCAGTACCATCTAATACTAGTCAGTACCATCTAATACTAGTCAGTACCATCTAATACTACAGTCAGTACCATCTAATACTAGTCAGTACCATCTAATACTACAGTCAGTACCATCTAATACTAGTCAGTACCATTTAATACTAGTCAGTACCATCTAATACTAGTCAGTACCATCTAATACTAGTCAGTACCATTTAATACTAGTCAGTACCATCTAATACTACAGTCAGTACCATCTAATACTAGTCAGTACCATCTAATACTAGTCAGTACCATCTAATACTACAGTCAGTACCATCTAATACTAGTCAGTACCATCTAATACTAGTCAGTACCATTTAATACTAGTCAGTACCATCTAATACTACAGTCAGTACCATCTAATACTAGTCAGTACCATCTAATACTAGTCAGTACCATCTAATACTACAGTCAGTACCATCTAATACTAGTCAGTACCATCTAATACTACAGTCAGTACCATCTAATACTAGTCAGTACCATCTAATACTAGTCAGTACCATCTAATACTACAGTCTGTACCATGAAATACTAGTCAGTACCATCTAATACTACAGTCAGTACCATCTAATACTGGTCAGTACCATCTAATACTAGTCAGTACCATCTAATACTACAGTCAGTACCATCTAATACTACAGTCAGTACCATTTAATACTAGTCAGTACCATTTAATACTAGTCAGTACCATGTAATACTACAGTCAGTACCATCTAATACTAGTCAGTACCATCTAATACTAGTCAGTACCATCTAATACTACAGTCAGTACCATCTAATACTAGTCAGTACCATCTAATACTAGTCAGTACCATCTAATACTACAGTCAGTACCATTTAATACTAGTCAGTACCATTTAATACTAGTCAGTACCATGTAATACTACAGTCAGTACCATCTAATACTAGTCAGTACCATCTAATACTACAGTCAGTACCATCTAATACTAGTCAGTATCATTTAATACTAGTCAGTACCATCTAATACTACAGTCAGTACCATCTAATACTAGTCAGTACCATTTAATACTTGTCAGTACCATCTAATACTAGTCAGTACCATCTAATACTAGTCAGTACCATCTAATACTACAGTCAGTACCATCTAATACTACAGTCAGTACCATCTAATACTAGTCAGTACCATCTAATACTAGTCAGTACCATTTAATACTAGTCAGTACCATCTAATACTACAGTCAGTACCATCTAATACTACAGTCAGTACCATCTAATACTAGTCAGTACCATCTAATACTAGTCAGTACCATCTAATACTACAATCAGTACCATCTAATACTACAGTCAGTACCATCTAATACTAGTCAGTACCATCTAATACTACAATCAGTACCATCTAATACTACATTCAGTACCATCTAATATTACAATCAGTACCATCTAATACTACAATCAGTACCATCTAATACTACAGTCAGTACCATCTAATACTAGTCAGTACCATGTAATACTACAGTCAGTACCATCTAATACTACAATCAGTACCATCTAATACTACAGTCAGTACCATCTAATACTAGTCAGTACCATCTAATACTACAGTCAGTACCATCTAATACTAGTCAGTATCATTTAATACTAGTCAGTATCATTTAATACTAGTCAGTACCATCTAATACTAGTCAGTAGTATTAGATGGTACTGACTAATATTAGTCAGTACCATCTAATACTACAATCAGTACCATATAATACTACAGTCAGTATCATCTAATACTAGTCAGTATCATCTAATACTAGTCAATACCATCTAATACTAGTCAGTACCATCTAATACTACAGTCAGTACCATCTAATACTAGTCAGTACCATCTAATACTAGTCAGTACCATCTAATACTACAGTCAGTACCATCTAATACTAGTCAGTACCATCTAATACTAGTCAGTACCATCTAATACTACAGTCAGTACCATCTAATACTACAGTCAGTACCATCTAATACTAGTCAGTACCATCTAATACTAGTCAGTACCATCTAATACTACAATCAGTACCATCTAATACTAGTCAGTATCATTTAATACTAGTCAGTACCATCTAATACTAGTCAGTACCATCTAATACTAGTCAGTACCATCTAATACTACAATCAGTACCATCTAATACTACAGTCAGTACCATCTAATACTACAGTCAGTACCATCTAATACTACAGTCAGTACCATCTAATACTACAATCAGTACCATCTAATACTACAGTCAGTACCATCTAATACTAGTCAGTACCATCTAATACTACAGTCAGTACCATCTAATACTAGTCAGTACCATCTAATACTAGTCAGTACCATCTAATACTACAATCAGTACCATCTAATACTAGTCAGTATCATTTAATACTAGTCAGTACCATCTAATACTAGTCAGTACCATCTAATACTAGTCAGTACCATCTAATACTACAATCAGTACCATCTAATACTACAGTCAGTACCATCTAATACTACAATCAGTACCATCTAATACTACAGTCAGTACCATCTAATACTACAATCAGTACCATCTAATACTACAGTCAGTACCATCTAATACTAGTCAGTACCATCTAATACTACAGTCAGTACCATCTAATACTAGTCAGTATCATTTAATACTAGTCAGTATCATTTAATACTAGTCAGTACCATCTAATACTAGTCAGTAGTATTAGATGGTACTGACTAATATTAGTCAGTACCATCTAATACTACAATCAGTACCATATAATACTACAGTCAGTATCATCTAATACTAGTCAGTATCATCTAATACTAGTCAATACCATCTAATACTACAATCAGTACCATCTAATACTAGTCAGTACCATCTAATACTAGTCAGTATCATCTAATACTATAATCAGTACCATCTAATACTAGTCAGTACCATCTAATACTAGTCAGTATCATCTAATACTAGTCAGTACCATCTAATACTACAATCAGTACCATCTAATACTACAGTCAGTACCATCTAATACTAGTCAGTATCATTTAATACTAGTCAGTATCATTTAATACTAGTCATTACCATCTAATTCTAGTCAGTATCATGTAATACTAGTCAATACCATCTAATACTACAATCAGTACCATCTAATACTAGTCAGTATCATCTAATACTATAATCAGTACCATCTAATACTAGTCAGTACCATCTAATACTGCAGTCAGTACCATCTAATACTACAGTCAGTACCATCTAATACTAGTCAGTACCATCTAAATACTATAATCAGTACCATCTAATACTAGTCAGTACCATCTAATACTATAATCAGTACCATCTAATACTAGTCAGTACCATTTAATACTAGTCAGTACCATCTAATACTAGTCAGTACCATCTAATACTAGTCAGTATCATCTAATACTATAATCAGTACCATCTAATACTAGTCAGTACCATCTAATACTACAGTTGGCAGAAACACTCTCAGCCTCTCCAGCTGTTTGACCTTTGACCTCACCCCACAGCTGCAGCGACCTTCTCCCAGTCGACGTCGGCGATGTCGTCCACCGACATGTCGTATAACCTGAGAGAGACGGGCGGAGTCAGAGTCCGACTGGCGCAACATTTAAACTGCTGATGTCAGCAGCTTCATTCTCATGATGTCATCGAAGCCATTTAGGTTTCTGACCTCCGACCTTTCGGTGAACTTACGTGCTGATAAGGCAGATTTTGGCCTCGTAGCCCTCTGCTCCTCTGTTGAAGACGTTTCCGTAAAACGTCATGCGACGATCCAGGAGGAAGAACCTGCAACATACAGAGTCTGGTTACGAGGCCGACTGTAGGGCAGAACCAGAACCAGAACCGGGACTCAATGCAAACCGACCACTTGCCGCGGCACTGGATCCAGGACCGGGTCCCGACCTCCTGGCTGATCTTCCCCCATGGAAGACTTTGGCTCAGCTGGTTTCGGCTCAAACTGGAACCATCGGGACCGGCCCGGCTCGCCAGCCGCTCCCGGACCGCCAGCTTCAGCCGCCGCTCCTCCTCGCCGGTCCAGGCGCCTTGTTCCACAGCTGGAGACCGAGAGGAGGTCAGGTGATTGACTAGGGAGGCCACAGAGGGCGGCCTGGGGTCAGAGGTCACATCCTACCGAGTGCAGCGAAGCGTTTCTGCAGCGAGTAGACGCTGCGGTCCATCTTCTGTGAAATCAGCTTCCAGTTGTTGCCATAGAGATTATGGAACCGGATCAGCGCCGCCAGCTCCTCCTTGGAGAACCTGTTCCACAGATTGTCAGAACGAGTTCTACAGGGAGCCCACCACGGGTCCCCGCGGGTCCGACAGAACCGCGGCTCACCTGCCCATATGGTTCTTCTCATCAAACATCTTCAAGGCCCGAAGGTAGACCTGGTGACACGGCCGGGGGATTCCATCCGCTGGAGGGCACAAAGGGTTAAAGGTCAAACCCAGCCCACCGCCCTGGTGGTCAGACGTGGGACAGACGGTCCTACCGATCCGCTCCATGAAGCCGTGCTGCTTCTTCAGCCTCCTGATGGCCGCCTGCTCCTCCACAAACCTCTGAGGGAACAGCAGCTTCTCCACAGAACCGATCCCGGTCAGAACCAGGAAGTCCGAAATGTTCTCCCTGATCTGCTGGTTCTCCTGCACAGAGAACCGACCCAAACGGGCCGGAACACCTGGAGGACGACAAAGAGAGAGACTTGGAGGAGAACACAGAGACTTTGAGTCCAAAGAGCAGAACCCGTCTGGTCCAGAACCGGTACCTTCCTGCTTGAACTTCCTGAAGCGATGGAGGTCACTTCTCAAAATCTTCTTGATCTGGTTGAGGCATTTCCTCCTGATGTGGGGCAGATAGTCCTGGAGCTCCTCCACCAGAGCCCAGTCCACCCTGGAACCAGAACCACAACCAGAACCAGTTATCTCTGGAACCAGAACCAGAACCTGTTACCTCTGGAAGAAGAAGAAACGCTGACTCTCACCCTTCTTCTGGCCTGCAGCTCAGATCTCCTCGCTCCGTTTTCTTCTTCTGTGGTTTTGTATTCTTCTTCTTCTTCGTCTCTTTCTGAGTTGAGCCCGTCCCGCTGCTCTTCTTCTTCTTGTTCTTCTTCTTCTCTTTCTCCTTGTTGCTGAGGTTGGTTCGCTCAGCTTCTAGAGCTTCCTCTTGGCCTGGAGAGATTGTTGTCATGGAGATGCAAACGTGGTTTTCATCTTCCTGCTGTGATGTCATCATCTTCTTTTTCTTCTTCTTCTTGTGGTCATGTGTTGGTCCATCAGGAGGAAGGCAGATCATTTCTTCTTCTCTCCCTTCTGTCTTCTTCCTCTTCTTCTTCTGAGTGTTGAGGTCACCAGCAGCAGGAGGTTCCACCTCACGTCTCTTCTTCTTCTTCTTCTTTTCTTGCTGCATCAGGTCAGCAGTGGGAGGAAGAGCGACCTCCTGTTCCTCACCTGTGACTCTCTTCTTCTTTGCCTTCCTCTTGAGGAAGACCTGCTTCTCTTCCTCAGGAGGGTTGAGACTGACCGGATCCAGATGTTCCAGCTGACCTGCTGACCTTCTCCTCTTCCTCCTCTGACCTTCAGTCTCTCCATCCTTCCCATGAATGCTCAGCTCCTCCTCCTTCCTTCTTCTCCTCTGGGATTCACCTGGTGGCGCCATGATGCCTGGGAGTAAAGGTCACAAGATCAGCACCAGAATCAGCGGTACCATACAGAACCAAGCGGTCTGAGGTACCACTGAGCCCGATCCAGTTCTGGTCCTTTTGATCTTGTCTCTAAGGACTTCCTCAGTGGTGCTCTCTGATAATCTGCTCGGGTTTCAGCCTCACTGCAGAACTTCAGTTCCCCTGCTCTAGTGGGTTGGAACCGCCCCAGGATGAAGCAGGATGTGACCTTTGAAGCCTCGAATTTGGGCCGAATCACGTGGCTGATTCAGGAACTGGTTCTGCTGCCGTTTGGCGGCACATATGGTTGATTTTGGACCTTATTGCGTTTGCAGTTAATTTGTGACCCAACTGACTGACATCATGTTGATTTCTCCTAATAAATAGTTTCACAAGCGAATAATAAACCGCTGCCTGTAAAGTCAACAGTGGATCCGGTGTTCTGATGTTGCAAAAGGTTAGGGGTCCAATGAACTTTGACCCTCAGCTGTATGAGGCTTTCTGAAACCAGCAGATTAATCACTAGTGAAGAAGCTGCTGATGCTCCAGAGAAACCCGAGCAGCTCGTTTCCACACTCCAGTTTCTAGTGAGTAATAAATGTTTATTACTCACATTTATTACTCACCAGAGTAATAAACACACACTAACACACACACTAACACACACACTAAGATTGTGCTCTTTAGGCTGATTCATGTCGCTTATTTTATCCACAACATGTCGCAGTAGAAACAAACGAACCTTCATCTCTGGGTTCAAGCGGACCGGAACCAGGACACCAGAACCGGGTCCGTGTTACCAGGTGATCATCGACGATATGAAATTTAAAGAGGTCAAAGGCCATAAACTTAAACTTTAATCTTACCGGCTGAAAACGCTCCGCGCTTCACGCCGCTGCGGCTTGTTTACTTCCTGAATGAGCTCAGCGCATGCGCGGAGAACCTTCCAGCGTCATGACGTTCGGCGACGTCATTTTTAGTCAGTTTCCATCAAAGGTAGAAACAAAATCTCTGCCTGCCAGAAGTTTGATAAATCTGTGTTGGAGGTTTGGTTAAAACATGGATTATAAATAATTGATCACAGATTTTTATGTAAATCAGTTCATATTTGGCTCATAGGATCATCTGTCCAGATTATGTTCATCCATGTATTTAAGACTCATCTGAGGATTTTAACATCAAGAAGTGAGAGAAAATGTATTATTTTTCTGCTATGGTTAAAAGCAACTGCTTCTGTTTTTACGATTATAGTCACTGATAATTAAAGAACAAGATCAACCAGTCAGAGTTTAATCCATCATAGTGACCCTTTAATTAATCTGCTCTCTAAAACAGCTGCACCTGTTACCACAGAAAACTCGAAGCAGCAGCTTGTGAAGCATGGCTTTCCTGCATAAAATAATAATCATTACTACAGCAGTATAAAAATACTGCTTTTACTTTGGGTTGATTCTTGGCATCAACGGAAAGAATAGAAATAGACATGAGGACAAAACCAAAAACTATTGCTCGGCTGAACTAACTAACTGGTCAATATTAAAGTACGATCCCAGTTCCGCCATTCAGCTAGAAAGAAAGGATCCCCTCCTCTACCTTGGGTAGAGAGAGTACTGTAACTCAGTTCTGTTTCTGACTGGAGAACCTTCTTGGCCAGCGATTGCTGGAGACAAACAATAGGCTGCAGCTGAAACTCATCCCAGGGCAGACCAGGCCGAGGCAGACTACCCTTAACCTGGACCTCGGCAGTGTCTGGGTACCCTAATGTGGAGAACCTTCATGATTTTAGAGCCTACTTAGAGTCTTGAGTGAATAAAACACAAACACGGTTTATTAAGGACGTGTCAGTTTTAGTAATTGGAACATTTCTACAAACATGGAGAAAGCACTGCTCCTGTTTGACTACAGTACCCATAATCCTCTGTTGCGGTTTTGCAGCAGGACAGCGAGAAGCTGCAAGGAGCCCAACCTGAACTCAGAGATATGATCTCTGTGTCAGGATCATCCTTCCAGACAGCATACAGGCAGATGGTGAAAAACCAGTACAGACACTAGTCCATTAATGGTTCTGAGTACTGGGTGTCCTGGTTTCTGTCACACTGACCTGAGACCAGTCCCTGCTCCAGAACACGCCTGTTATGTAGACGGTACCTGGGAGTGGATCAACATGTGCAAGACTGAACTCGGAACCGCGGCAGGCACACACACACACACACAAACACACACACACACTAACACACACACACCAACACACACACTAACACACACACACACTAACACACACACACACTAACACACACACACACACACACTAACACACACACACACTAACACACTAACACACACACACACACTAACACACACACACACTAACACACACACACACTAACACACACACACACTAACACACACACCAACACACTAACACACTAACACACACACACACTAACACACACACACTAACACACACACACTAACACACACACACACACACACACTAACACACACACACTAACACACTAACACACTAACACACACACACTAACACACACACACTAACACACACACACTAACACACACACACTAACACACACACACACACACACTAACACACACACACTAACACACACACACACACACACACACACACACACACAGTCTCACACTGAGCAGCTGACAGCAGCAGAAAGAGACCAGCAGGTGTATTTATAGCAGAGCTTCTTTGAGTCGGACCGGTTCTGTCCCGGTCCGACACTGCAGTGCCACCATGCCCGGCAGCCAGACCCGGAACCGGCCCAGGGACCGGAATAACATCCTGAACCGTCCGGAGTTCATGTCCCTGAACCAGCCGATCCGCAGAGAAACCTCCACTGGGGAGGGGCGGTCCGGAGCGTCCAGGAGAACCGCCAGCAGACGACCGAGTCAGCAGGACGACGCCACAGCGAGGTAAGAGCTGCTGGGGTAAGAGGCTCCGCCATCTCGTCATGGAGATGTAGGAATGTGGTTACCAGGACGATTTGACAAAGTTCTCATCAACAGTCCTTTACGTCTGTCCCTCTGTGTACCCAGGGGGTCCAGGGACTCCTCTGAAGGGGCCCCATCAGGAGACGGGGTTCCGAAGGACGGGTCCCGCTGGCCCGAGCAGGATTGCATGCAGCTGAACCCGTCCTTCCGCGGCATCGCCGTCAACTCGCTGCTCGCCATCGACATCAGCCTGTCCAGGCGTCTGGGTGTGTGTGCGGGGGCCCATGGGCCTGGGGCCCCGCTGCGCCCCATGGTGGCCCTGCTGGCCTTCTCTGGACACGCGCTTCCCTGGCTCTGCGGGACGATGCTCTGCTTGTGGCGCAGCAACACGCTGGCGGGACAGGAAGTCCTGGTCAACCTGCTGCTTGGTGAGTCTGCTGACCTTTGACCTGTCTGTCTCTGCTGACCTTTGACCTGTCTGTCTCTGCTGACCTTTGGCCCTCATTCCCCAGCCCTGCTCTTGGACCTGATGACCGTGGCGGGCGTCCAGAAGCTGGTGCAGCGCCGCGGGCCGTGGGACGCCCCCCCAGGGTTCCTGGACCGCGTCGCCCTGGACGCGTACTCGTTCCCCGCCGCCCACGCCAGCCGGGCCGTCATGGTGTCCCGTTTCCTGCTGAACCACTTGGTGCTGGCGGTGAGTGGCCGCCGCCGGTCGTCGCCTGCATCTCGTCGGAGCTGACCCCTGCCGACCTTTGCCCGTCAGGTGCCCCTCCGGATCCTGCTGTACCTGTGGGCCTTCCTGGTGGGCGTGTCCCGGGTCCTGCTGGGGAAGCATCACCTGTCTGACGTCGGCTGCGGCTTCGCGCTCGGATTCCTGCACTTCAGCCTGGTGGAGTCCGTCTGGCTCGACTCGGCCGCCTGCCAGGCGCTGCTGGCCATCGGCTCTCTGCACTGGGCGCCACTGGTGTAGAGGGCGCCAGATCAGAACCGGACCGGGCCCTGACTGGAGCCTGACTGGAACCGGAACTGCACTGAAATCAGTCTGGTTCCAGTGCGGTTCTAGTCCGTCTCCGGTCAGCCTTTATTGCTGCTTTGTGCCTTTGACTTAGAAAGGTTCTGGTCAGGATTGGCTGGTCGGACTGGAGTAACTGGTAAAAACTGTTTACAGTCTGGATCGGACTGGTTTTTAATGGTTTTACTTTGTTTACTTACAGAAGAAAGTTTGGACTGGCTTCTGTAAGTCCAAACTGGCTTCTCAACCAGTTTGGTTCAGTCCAGGTTTAACCCTCTTCAACTGGGTTGGACTAGACTGAACCACTGGTTCAAGTGCTTTGGTACTGGTTAAACTGGGATGGATGATCAAAGGTCAGTAACAGGAAGTGACTCTGGTTGGACTTCCTGTTTTTAACTTTACTATTATTTAATATTAAAAAATTAAATGTTCTCTAGATCTGCAGCTGATGACTTTCATTTTAACTTTTGACGAAATCAAGAGAAGCTGAAAAGTGAGTCGGGCCAGAACCGGGCCGGAACCAGATCAGACCCTGACCGGGTGTTCTGGGCCTTCAGTGATGTCTGTCAGAGGACATGATGGAGGTCAAACCCACAACCTGCAGTTTGCACTGAGCCTGACAGAGACAGGAGCTGGAGAACAAAAGTCAGTCCACCTTAAAGTCATTTTCCTGCCATAATCCCAGAACATTTTGGTTTGGAAAACAGGACTTTGTCTTTTGGTCTGGTTCTCACTGCTCCGAATCCCTGGACATAGACACACGTTAGTGACGCCCGGATCAGTTCATGGGTTATGAGAATAAACAATGAGGCTCTTTAAATGTGAACAGATTTGAAATTTTAAATTGACATTTGGGCAAATGTTTCCTCATTTCCGTTAAAGGTGTCGGTATAAGAACAAAATCCTCCGCTAACCAATCAGTGGCCGTTAGCGGTTAGCGATCAGCGGCCGTTAGCGGTTAGCAATCAGAGGCGTTAGCGATCAGCGGCCGTTAGCGATCAAATCAATGTGCATGCTCTGCCTGCTCTTTCATTCTTCTGTTTTATTGATTTGCTAATTATATAAATATCAATGTGTTTAATTAGATAAATTAATGACAGATACTGTAGTTTACGCAGACATTACAAGAACAAAGAGCAGCTCAGAGAGGCTTCAGTTCAGAAGAATCAGATGGTTCATCACTATATTGCAGACTTTTAGATTAGTCAACACCTTCGAACAATAATTCAGGAAGTGAGTGACTTTTTTTTTTCTTCACAAAATCTTGTGTCTAGCTAGCTCAGCGAACATCATGGAGCAGCTTAGCTTCCTGTGAGCTTCTTTTCTAAGAGATGAAAGAGTTAGACGTAGACGACGTAGTTACATGCAGATAGACGTAGTTACATGTAGATAAACGTAGTTACATGTAGATAGACGTAGTTACATGTAGACAGACGTAGTTACATGTAGTTAGACGTAGTTACATGTAGACAGACGTAGTTACATGTAGACAGACGTAGTTACATGTAGATAGACGTAGTTACATGTAGATAGACGTAGTTACATGTAGATAGACGTAGTTACATGTAAATAGACGTAGTTACATGTAGATAGACGTAGTTACATGTAGACAGACGTAGTTACATGTAGATAGACGTAGTTACATGTAGATAGACGTAGTTACATGTAGACAGACGTAGTTACATGCAGATAGATGTAGTTACATGTAGACAGACGTAGTTACATGTAGACAGACGTAGTTACATGTAGACGACGTAGTTACATGTAAATAGACGTAGTTACATGTAGACAGACGTAGTTACATGTAGATAGACGTAGTTACATGTAGACAGACGTAGTTACATGTAGATAGACGTAGTTACATGTAGATAGACGTAGTTACATGCAGATAGATGTAGTTACATGTAGACAGACGTAGTTACATGTAGACAGACGTAGTTACATGTAGACGACGTAGTTACATGTAAATAGACGTAGTTACATGTAGACAGACGTAGTTACATGCAGATAGATGTAGTTACATGTAGACAGACGTAGTTACATGTAGACGACGTAGTTACATGTAGATAGACGTAGTTACATGTAGACAGACGTAGTTACATGTAGATAGACGTAGTTACATGTAAATAGACGTAGTTACATGTAGATAGACGTAGTTACATGTAGACAGACGTAGTTACATGTAGATAGACGTAGTTACATGTAGACAGACGTAGTTACATGTAGACAGACGTAGTTACATGTAGATAGATGTAGTTACATGTAGATAGACGTAGTTACATGTAGACAGACGTAGTTACATGTAGATAGACGTAGTTACATGTAGATAGACGTAGTTACATGTAGATAGACGTAGTTACATGTAGATAGACGTAGTTACATGTAGACAGACGTAGTTACATGTAGACAGACGTAGTTACATGTAGTTAGACGTAGTTACATGTAGACAGACGTAGTTACATGTAGACAGACGTAGTTACATGTAGATAGACGTAGTTACATGTAGATAGACGTAGTTACATGTAGATAGACGTAGTTACATGTAGACAGACGTAGTTACATGTAGACAGACGTAGTTACATGTAGATAGACGTAGTTACATGTAGATAGACGTAGTTACATGTAGATAGACGTAGTTACATGTAAATAGACGTAGTTACATGTAGATAGACGTAGTTACATGTAGACAGACGTAGTTACATGTAGATAGACGTAGTTACATGTAGATAGACGTAGTTACATGTAGACAGACGTAGTTACATGTAGATAGACGTAGTTACATGTAGACAGACGTAGTTACATGTAGATAGACGTAGTTACATGTAGACAGACGTAGTTACATGTAGACAGACGTAGTTACATGTAGACGACGTAGTTACATGTAAATAGACGTAGTTACATGTAGACAGACGTAGTTACATGTAGATAGACGTAGTTACATGTAGACAGACGTAGTTACATGTAGATAGACGTAGTTACATGTAGATAGACGTAGTTACATGTAGATAGACGTAGTTACACGTAGATAGACGTAGTTACACGTAGATAGACGTAGTTACATGTAGACAGACGTAGTTACATGTAGATAGACGTAGTTACATGTAGACAGACGTAGTTACATGTAGATAGACGTAGTTACATGTAGACAGACGTAGTTACATGTAGACAGACGTAGTTACATGTAGACGACGTAGTTACATGTAAATAGACGTAGTTACATGTAGACAGACGTAGTTACATGTAGATAGACGTAGTTACATGTAGACAGACGTAGTTACATGTAGATAGACGTAGTTACATGTAGATAGACGTAGTTACATGTAGATAGACGTAGTTACACGTAGATAGACGTAGTTACATGCAGATAGATGTAGTTACATGTAGACAGACGTAGTTACATGTAGATAGACGTAGTTACATGTAGACAGACGTAGTTACATGTAAATAGACGTAGTTACATGTAGACAGACGTAGTTACATGTAGATAGACGTAGTTACACGTAGATAGACGTAGTTACATGCAGATAGATGTAGTTACATGTAGACAGACGTAGTTACATGTAGACGACGTAGTTACATGTAGATAGACGTAGTTACATGTAGATAGACGTAGTTACATGTAAATAGACGTAGTTACATGTAGATAGACGTAGTTACATGTAGACAGACGTAGTTACATGTAGATAGACGTAGTTACATGTAGACAGACGTAGTTACATGTAGATAGATGTAGTTACATGTAGATAGACGTAGTTACATGTAGACAGACGTAGTTACATGTAGATAGACGTAGTTACATGTAGATAGACGTAGTTACATGTAGATAGACGTAGTGTAGATGTAGACGTAGTTACATGTAGACAGACGTAGTTACATGTAGACAGACGTAGTTACATGTAGTTAGACGTAGTTACATGTAGACAGACGTAGTTACATGTAGACAGACGTAGTTACATGTAGACAGACGTAGTTACATGTAGATAGACGTAGTTACATGTAGATAGACGTAGTTACATGTAGACAGACGTAGTTACATGTAGACAGACGTAGTTACATGTAGATAGACGTAGTTACATGTAGATAGACGTAGTTACATGTAGATAGACGTAGTTACATGTAAATAGACGTAGTTACATGTAGATAGACGTAGTTACATGTAGACAGACGTAGTTACATGTAGATAGACGTAGTTACATGTAGATAGACGTAGTTACATGTAGACAGACGTAGTTACATGTAGATAGACGTAGTTACATGTAGACAGACGTAGTTACATGTAGTTAGACGTAGTTACATGTAGATAGACGTAGTTACATGCAGATAGATGTAGTTACATGTAGACAGACGTAGTTACATGTAGACAGACGTAGTTACATGTAGACGACGTAGTTACATGTAAATAGACGTAGTTACATGTAGACAGACGTAGTTACATGTAGATAGACGTAGTTACACGTAGATAGACGTAGTTACATGCAGATAGATGTAGTTACATGTAGACAGACGTAGTTACATGTAGACGACGTAGTTACATGTAGATAGACGTAGTTACATGTAGACAGACGTAGTTACATGTAGATAGACGTAGTTACATGTAAATAGACGTAGTTACATGTAGATAGACGTAGTTACATGTAGATAGACGTAGTTACATGTAGACAGACGTAGTTACATGTAGATAGACGTAGTTACATGTAGACAGACGTAGTTACATGTAGACAGACGTAGTTACATGTAGATAGATGTAGTTACATGTAGATAGACGTAGTTACATGTAGACAGACGTAGTTACATGTAGATAGACGTAGTTACATGTAGATAGACGTAGTTACATGTAGATAGACGTAGTTACATGTAGATAGACGTAGTTACATGTAGACAGACGTAGTTACATGTAGACAGACGTAGTTACATGTAGTTAGACGTAGTTACATGTAGACAGACGTAGTTACATGTAGACAGACGTAGTTACATGTAGATAGACGTAGTTACATGTAGATAGACGTAGTTACATGTAGACAGACGTAGTTACATGTAGACAGACGTAGTTACATGTAGACAGACGTAGTTACATGTAGACAGACGTAGTTACATGTAGTTAGACGTAGTTACATGTAGTGAGACGTAGTTACATGTAGACAGACGTAGTTACATGTAGACAGACGTAGTTACATGTAGACAGACGTAGTTACATGTAGTTAGACGTAGTTACATGTAGACAGACGTAGTTACATGTAGTTAGACGTAGTTACATGTAGACAGACGTAGTTACATGTAGATAGACGTAGTTACATGTAGACAGACGTAGTTACATGTAGATAGACGTAGTTACATGTAGACAGACGTAGTTACATGTAGACAGACGTAGTTACATGTAAATAGACGTAGTTACATGCAGATAGACGTAGTTACATGTAGATAGATGTAGTTACATGTAGATAGACGTAGTTACATGTAGACAGACGTAGTTACATGTAGATAGACGTAGTTACATGTAGACAGACGTAGTTACATGTAGACAGACGTAGTTACATGTAGTTAGACGTAGTTACATGTAGATAGACGTAGTTACATGTAGACAGACGTAGTTACATGTAGTTAGACGTAGTTACATGTAGATAGACGTAGTTACATGTAGACAGACGTAGTTACATGTAGACAGACGTAGTTACATGTAGTTAGACGTAGTTACATGTAGATAGACGTAGTTACATGTAGACAGACGTAGTTACATGTAGACAGACGTAGTTACATGTAGTTAGACGTAGTTACATGTAGATAGACGTAGTTACATGTAGACAGACGTAGTTACATGTAGACAGACGTAGTTACATGTAGACAGACGTAGTTACATGTAGATAGACGTAGTTACATGTAGACAGACGTAGTTACATGTAGACAGACGTAGTTACATGTAGATAGACGTAGTTACATGTAGACAGACGTAGTTACATGTAGACAGACGTAGTTACATGTAGTTAGACGTAGTTACATGTAGATAGACGTAGTTACATGTAGACAGACGTAGTTACATGTAGACAGACGTAGTTACATGTAGACAGACGTAGTTACATGTAGACAGACGTAGTTACATGTAGACAGACGTAGTTACATGTAGTTAGACGTAGTTACATGTAGATAGACGTAGTTACATGTAGACAGACGTAGTTACATGCAGATAGACGTAGTTACATGTAGACAGACGTAGTTACATGTAGATAGACGTAGTTACATGTAGACAGACGTAGTTACATGTAGATAGACGTAGTTACATGTAGACAGACGTAGTTACATGCAGATAGACGTAGTTACATGCAGATAGACGTAGTTACATGTAGACAGACGTAGTTACATGTAGTTAGACGTAGTTACATGTAGATAGACGTAGTTACATGTAGTTAGACGTAGTTACATGTAGTTAGACGTAGTTACATGTAGACAGACGTAGTTACATGTAGATAGACGTAGTTACATGTAGATAGACGTAGTTACATGTAGATAGACGTAGTTACATGTAGACAGACGTAGTTACATGTAGTTAGACGTAGTTACATGTAGATAGACGTAGTCTCCCCACTGTCTATGAAAGCGAAGCTTTTGAATTAACGTCACCATCGGATTTCTTATGATTTATGCGTCGCAGTTTTATTACTGTTGATCTGACGAAAATCTGCTGCTGCTCTAAGAAACGCACTGCGCATGTCTGGTAGCGCCGTGTTGAGGAAAGGTGTGTGTTGCCGGATGCTAACGGCAGTGCTTGTTGCTTTGTCCTCCAGATTGCGTCATTGTTGTTACAGCAGAACTGACTGTAACATTTATTCTGCATTATCTGAATGTTTTTGTTTCCCATCAAGTTCCTCGGAGAGTCGCCATGAAATCAGAAACATTCTTTATTATACCTTAATTAGGAAATTATCTTTCTATAACAAAAACTTTTACAAGCACCAACTTCAAACATGTTTTAGTGCAACACTGTAACCATCGTTCCTGAACGCACCACGTTCCACTAGTAGAGTGACGAATAAAGTTCAGTTTCCTGGTTCTGATCGTCCCCAGGTGGAAGAACTGTCCATCTGCTCTGGTCTCCATGAACTGGTTCTGGACCGCTGGACTCAGATCTGAATCAGTTTCGGACTGAATTTTTTGACTTGCTGGTTTGGGTCAGCTTGCATGAACTGGTTCTGTAGAACCGGGTCTGTGTTGGCACTGTATCCCTGAGAAGTGATTGGCCGAAGCTGCAGAGTCGGCAGCCGGCAGGAGAAACGAGATGGGGTCAGAACCAGTTCTGGTTCCAGTTCCAATCCGGAACTGAGCAGAACCTGCTCAGAGGTAAAACACTGACTCCTGCTGGCCACTTAGGGAACAGCAGCTCCGGTCAGGACTCTCCGCCTCCTCTTTCGATTGTCTTGGATTTGTTTCACCTCCTTCTCTTCCTCATCCTCCTCATCCTCCTCGTCCTCCTCCCGATTGGTCGGACAGGTTGACTTCTTTCTGCTGATTGGCTGAACCGTGGCCAGCAGCGCCGGCAGCGTGAACAGGGACAGGAAGCGGGCCTTCAGCAGCTGGTGGGCGGGGTTTGTGGAGAAGCGCTGCGCCACCTGCTGGCGGAGGGCCTGCAGCTCCTCCTGCCGCTCTGCAGGACGAAACCAGGAGTCTCAAGTCCAAACTACGCACAAAAATATGCTGCAGCACATTTTACGCACAAGTCACCATATATGAAATTAAACATGGCGTCAAAGTTCGTGTAAATATATCAAAACTTTTGACCTGCCCTAAAAATGTGTAATCAAACTTACTGATCACCTTCAATAATCAAACCTATTGATCAGCCCTGATCAATAGGGCTAATACTCATTTATTCAAATGAGCCATAGATTCATTCAGACGAATCGTTTTGTCTTTATGAGACAAGCTGAGTAAATTTATTATTTACGTGTTGTGATGTTTTCACATCTTTATTTTATTTTCTGGCTTATTGTCTGAGGATAAGTTGGTTCAGTTTCATCGTTTAATCGCTCAAATATTACGGTTAGCCAGGTGTGAGGCGGTCGAGGGCTTACCTGGCGGCTGGGCGCCGTCTGGCTCGCTCGAGGCGCAGTAGGCGTGGTCATGGAGGCGGCGGCCTGCCCCCGCCATCAGCTGCAGAGCTGACGCCGTCACAGATGCCTTCGCCCGCAGGAGGCCACTGAGCGCGCTCAGAGTGCTGACGGATGGCGGCAGGTAGGGGAGGACGCACCTCGCTCCAGGTATAGCCACACCCCCTCTCCCTCTCAGCCAATCATGAACCTCCTCTGGGGGCTCCAGGAACATCAGGGTGGGGTCAAAGTGCAGGTCCGCCCTCCGGAGGGGGAGGCCGGTCGAGCCCACCGTCTGCCACCCCGTCGCTTCCTGATAGGCCAGCAGCATGTGGGGGCGGGGCCAGCTGGTTGACCTCAGATCAGGTGACTGGATGACGGCTGGGAGGAGGGGCTTAGATCTACCGGTGGGAACAGGTGAGAGCTGGAGGTCACGAAGGGCAGCTGGGGTCACGGAGAAGCGCCCTGCCCTCTGAGGGGGCGGGGCTTCAGACACTAGGGGAGGGACTCTGGGCAAGGGCAGGGCTGGGGGCGGAGCCTGAGCCACATGGCCCGGACCAGCGGTCATGACCCAAATGGACCGGTTAGGAAGCACATGGAGACCAGTGACCTGAGAGGGGGGCGGAGCCTCCGTGCTGATACTTTCCTTTGATTGGGCCATGCCAACACGTTTCTGCTGACAGGAGGCGGAGCTTCTCTTCTTTGTAGCCTGGAAACAGAACCAGAAGGGCCTGAGGTCCAGACCAACCAGAACCAGGTCTGAACAGTAAAGGGAAAGTCCGAACCAGAACCTGTTGGTTCTGCCGGTCCGGCCCTGCCTCACCTGGAGCTCCTTGGACTCCCGGATCTTCAGGGTCGGCCTCCTGGCTCTCTTCCCCTCCTGGACCGGCCCCGGGCCGGGTCCGGCGCCGCCCACTTCCACCCACCCACTCTGACACACCGCAGTGTCTGTGGAAGTGGGCGGGGTCTGATCGGGGCAAGAAGGTGGAGCAGAGGTCAGAGATGAGGAGGAAGAGCTAACTGCTGCAGGGGGAGCGGCACTGACAGCAGGACAGTGTGAGTTCTGGGTCCGGTCCGGTTCTGGAGAACCTGCTGAATCCATGGGTCCAGACTGAAAGCAGAACCACAGAGCAGTCAGAGCGACTCCTGATTGGTCCAGAGAGACAGGTGGGTAGTTAGCATAAGCTACTGCTAAACGCTACAGAAAGCATGCTGCGTCATAGCAACTTAGCATCACGTTAGGAGAGTAAGTGGTCCTCATGCACTTCAAAATAAGAGCTTGGATATAAATAAAAACTAAATAGGAATTATTACCCAAAACACACAAATGAACTTTACAAGTCAACCAAGTAAATCATCACTTTCACGTCTATCTTGAAAAATGAAATATTGGGAAGCTAACTGCGCTAAATGTTTTCACAGTTAGCAACAGCGCTAAGTGACAATCTGCTGCTGTTAGCAGAACTTTACCTCCAGATCCGAGCCGTCCTCCTGCTTTCTTCCTTCAGCACCTGTCTGTGCCACACCTGCATTAGCCCCGCCCACATCACTACGAGAACCAGCTGCACCCTCACTAGCTCCGCCCACAACTGTCAGCTCTGCAGGACTTCCTGGAGCAAGGCTATTGGTCAGACTGGAGCCAACAGGAACCGCTGAGGAGGGGCTGCAGGACGGCTCTGGGTTTGGGAGCTGAGGAGGAGCAAAGGAGGCAGCAGGAACCAGGAGACTGTGAGGAAACACCTGACGACATGTGCTAGGAGGCGGGGCCAGCAGGATGGGCGGGGCCAGCAGGGTGGGCGGGGCCAGAAGGTCCACCTTGTTCTTCCTCTCCTCGATCATCTGCCGGCAGCCCAGCATGTCGATGTTCATGGCCTGGAGGAGCAGCGTGAAGGTGGAGGAGGTGGAGACGCCGCTCCTCTCTCCTCCCTCCCTCAGCACATCTGCAGCGCTCCGTTTCTGGCTCTTTGGGATCAGCAGGTTCCCGATCCATGGCGTGACGGCGGCCTGCAGCTCGTACTCCAGCTCCTGGGCCCGCGGGCGCCGCCGCCGCCCCGGCCGGGCGGCGGCGCCGACCTTCTGCTTCAGGGCGCTGAGGTGGAGACGCAGCGCGTCCCGGGACGCCATCGGCACGGCGGAGGCGCCGTGGCGCTCCTCCCGGGACAGCTGTCTGGGCGGAGGCCCGATGACCACGGAGGGTCCCGGCCGCCCCAGCACAGTGGAGCGGACCGCGGTTCGGTCCGGAGCCTCGCTGGGGGACGGGAGCTCCGCCAGCGTGAAGCTCAGGGAGGTGGAGCTGTGCTTCACCTCAGCTGGAACCCAGTCCTCCATCGGCGGCAGGATGTACTCCTGCTGCTCCTCCTGCTGCTCCTCCTGCTCCTCCTCCTCCTCGGTCCTCTTCCTCTTCTTATTACAGTCTTCATCACTGTCCATGTACTGCACCACCTCATCCTCATCGTCGTCATCCTCAGTTATCTCCGCCTCCTCTTCCTCCGTCATCTTCAATATTCCCCTCCTGATGCCAGCACTGAAACCTCCAGCACCCCACCCCCTTCCTCTTCCTCCTGCTCTTCCTCCTCGTCTTCCTCCTCCTCTTCCTCCCGTCTTGCAGGTCTTCCTGATTTTCTGTCTATCCTGTTAGAGAAACAGTCCATCAGCCGGGTTCTCAGAACAGCTTCTGCTTTCAGGAACACAGCAGCTGATGAGCCTAAGCTCCTGACAGTCCCTGACCCCTGTTTGACCCCTGAGTGACCCCCAACCCCTGATTTACCTGAGCAGGTTGTCGCACCAGCTTCCTCCACTCTCTCAAGCATTGAGCGTCGAGGCGATGAGGGATCTCTGCAGCGATCCTGGCCCAGCGACCTGAAACAGTCGCTCAGTTCAGAACCAAGCAGCAGGTGATTCATCAGCATCATCATCCTCATCAGAACCTCATCAGAACCTCATCAGAACCTCACCAACTCCATGTTTCTTCACCAGCTGCTGCAGCAGCTCCACCTCATGTCTCTCAAATGGTCCTTTCTTTATGTTCCTCTTCAGACAGTCCAGATACCTACGGACAGATGGACAGACGGACAGACAGACAGGGTTCCCTCAGGAAAACCCAGAAACGCTGCCCCCTGCTGGTCCTCACCTGTCTCTGCAGGCTCCATCGGTACGTCCAGGAACTTCCAACCGGACCTTCCACCAACTCTTCTCGCCGTGACGAGCCACAGCCTGCAGCAGGAGCTGGACGGACAGACAGACAGGACAGATCAGACCGAGACCAGGCTGAGCGCTCCAGAACCAGGGCGGGTCCATTTGGGCGCGAAGCGTACCCGGTCCTCCTGCTTGGTCCACGAGCCTCTCTTCAGGCTCGGGTCCAGAACCTGGTTCCACCTGTAGACGAGCTGGGTCGGATCACGACCCTCCATGAAGTAACTGACTGGAAGCAGAGAAGAAGAGAGAAGAAGAGTCCATCAGAGACAGAGGGAGTGATGTCACAGCGTGACGTCAGCGTGATGTCATTACTCTGCGTGTACGGGATGAAGTTCCCGATCCTCATCTTCTGGACCAGCTCTCTGAACTGCCCGTCTTCCTCCGCCGTCCAGCTGCTGCGTTTCAGAGAGTCGGAGACGAAACGCTGGAACATCTGGAGGCACATGAAGGCCGTCCTCCCCGTCTGAGGGACGGAGACAGACGGGTTAGAGAGACGAGTCAGAGAGACGGGTCGGAGAGGCCATCCGCCCCATTCCCTCCCTCACCCCCAGTTCCTGAGCGATCGAGTCCCAGTGTCTGTCCTCGTCTCCTGCAGATGGCGCTGAGCCTCTGGACCTCCTCGCTGCTCCAGGGCCTCTTGTTGATGGACGGGTGGAGGACGTTCTGCCAGAACAGGCGGATGTCCTCCGCGTCCTTCGTCCCTTCGAACTGAGGAAGAGCATCAGGGCCGACCGATCAATCAATCGTTTCGTCGATCAATAGATCCGTCCAGCCATCAGGTTATTTACTGACGTCGATGTTGGAGATCTTCTGCCAGTCGTGCTCTTCGTAGCGATCGCCAGTAAGCTCCTCCTCTCTCTTCATCCTGACCAATCAGAACACAGAACCAGATCCAGATCCGGACCAGGACCCCTGAGTCCAGGGACCCCCGAGTCCAGGGACCTGTCTGACCTCAGCTGCTGCAGGTCTTTCTCCAGGTCGTCGATCTGCTCAGTCAGCTGCTGTCTGTCGGCTCCCTGAGCCGAGGAACGCCTGGAGGTCAAGAAGTCCAGCCTGGAGGGTCAAGAGACGCATTGAGACACGTCAAGACACGTCCACCCAGCAGCGGGTCGGGTTCTGGTACCTGGACAGTTTGGGCAGCATGAGTCTCTTCAGGTGGTCTCTAGTCACTGAGTGGACCAGCAGCGTCTTCTGCCAGCTCTCCCCTGAACACAGAGAACCGGGTCAGAACAGAACCAGCTGATGGACCAGGTCACGACAGAACTTACATCTTTTTAATTTCAGCTTCTTGTCTTCTGGACATCCCATCATCCTCTGAGCCTTCAGCTTCACCTCCTGATTGGCTGGAGGGCCCTGGACAGAACCAGCGCAGCGTCCCATTGGTCCATTGCTCAGCGTGTTTCTGTGTGTTCGCTCAGTGTGTGTGCGGTACCAGGCCCGTCAGACGGTCCTTGAAGTACGGATTCAGGAAGCTGCCCAGGAACATCCTAGCTGGATGCTGATTGGACAAGGCAGAACCTTCTCTGGTGGACTCTCTGATTGGTCCATTCATCTGGGCTGTGAGCTCCCTCTGCAGGCAGAAACATTGCACTGCAGTTTGGATCGCTTCAGGATCCAGAGCCACACGGGGTCAGAACAAGGCCTGAACCGGGTCGGAACCGGGTCGGAACCGGGTCCTCACCTGCTGCCTGCGGTTGTGGACCAGCAGCGCCTCCAGCTGGTCCAGCGTCTCCAGGACCACCTGCTGGTAGACCAGGTTCAGGTTCAGACACGAGGACGCACTCGGAGACAGGTCCGGCTCGCTCTGGGGACACAAACGCCGAGAAGACACTCACACCTACAGCGACACATGCGACCTCTGACCCCAAACAGTACCGACCTCGTCACTGGAGTCACTGCCGTCCTTGCTGGACACGTCGAGGGACGCGCTGCGGGGACCCAACATGTCCTCCAGGTTCTGGATCTCCGACTGGATCTTCTGCTTCTGGGCCAACAGGACAGCTGGGCTCTGAACACACACACACACAAAGACACAGAGACACACACACACACATACACACACAGAGACACACACAGAGACACACACAGAGACACCAGGACCAGTTAGTGGTGCTGTATGGAATCGGACCAACATATGTCCCAGGTCCTGTGTCTCACCTGTCTCTCCTCTTCCTCCTCCTGACTTTCTGATCCATCATCTGAAAGTCAGAGACACAGAGTGAGACGACCCAGTCCCTGATCCCACACAGAAAACCATCGACCCAAACGACCTGAAGTTCTGCTGGGATGAAGAACTGCTTGAGAACCATCTTCAAGGTTCTGTAGGTCCAGAAACTTGGAGACTTTAAACAGAATTAAAATAATCTGGTTCTTCCCGTCCCACTGAGTCAGCAAACCGTTTTCAATGAATGCTAGCTCCCCTAGTTAGCCTCAGCTAGCATCACTGGCGGCTTTGGACTTAGACTTAGACTAAGACTTGACTTTATTGATCCCTTGGGAAGACTCCCTCAGGAAATTATAGTTACCAGCAGCTCACAGGCAAAAATGTGGCACACAGTAAGCATACACAAAATACAAAAAAATACAAATTAAATACAAAACAAAGAATATAAATACAACACAAAAGGAAATTATAGCAATTTGGTCGATAGATTGACCAGTGATATGGTATTGCACTGTATGGTTTGGCCTGATAATGCTGACATGGAGACGCTGGATTAGCCTCCTTTCAGAAGCAGCTTCACTTTCCAGCCTGTGATTATGACTTTTATTCTCTAAAACTTCCTGTCAGGCTTTTATTGTGGTAATTATGACTTCCTGTCAGGCTTGTATTGTGCCACCAGTGGCCATGTGTCTGCCACGCTAGCTGAGGCTAACAAGGGGAGCTAACATTCAGTGTGTTAAAGTTCTGCTGACCCGGTGGACAGGAAGAACCAGGTCATTTTCTCACGGCTCCGAGTCAGTTCTATAAAAACAGACCCCGCCTCGCCGGGTCACATTAAACCGGGTTCCTCTGGTTCGGGTCGATCCAGTGGGATGGTCACGAGGGGCTGAATCTGTAAACTGCACTAAAGTTCCAGCAGGTTCTGGTTCTGGTTGTGATGTTCTGCCTGTAACTCAGATATGCTTCCTGTTTTATCTGATTCTCATCATTTATAATTTGGTTCTGATTGTTCAACCGGGCCAGAACCGGGTCTGGAACCGGGCATGGACTGTACCTGTCTCACTGCTCAGCAGGTCCAACTCGTCCTGGGTCACTGCCAGGCTGCGCTCCAGCTCCTCCACCTGTCTCTGGACCCGGTCCCTCTGGGCCGACAGGGACATGTCTGCAAGACAGAGAGAGTTCTGGTTCTGGCTCGGCCCGGTTAAACTTATGCAGGAACTGAACCAACCCGTCCAGGACCTACAAATGTGGATCCAGCCTGTTCTGTTGGCTCTTCAGTCAAAAGTCCATCAGAACCATTTCAGAACTGAAGTAGTGCGACCAGGGCCGGTCCAAGCCTCCATGGGGCCCTCAGCCAAATGAGGTTTTGGGCCCTCAGGTTCTGCTAACAATGTGGACCGGCTGCAACCAGCAGTCTGATCATTAGATCCTTCAAACACCTGCTATGAACTGATTGCATCTCTGGCTGTTTACATTACATACATGTACAATAGATTATTGACCATCTGATTTATGGACCAGTTGATTTCTGGGAGCCGATTTCCTTCATTTTGGGGCATCGTGATCGGCCGCTACTGACGTGAAGCTGATCTGATGTCCATCATGATGTCCATCATCTCTGTCCTTGTGCAGAGACAGTTGGACTGACAGACCAGGCCAGTCTCAACGTTTACAGCTAATATTCACTGTTAGCAACTCAGAGACTTTGCTGCTACATTCAGAAACATTTCAGACTCAATAAATTCATATGAGCCAAAATCAGCAGGTCAAAGGTCAGAACCAGGAATCGGCCAGAAAACTGCAATCGCTGCAGAAAACATTCATCACATTCAATTCATTTCTCTTCAGCTCCAATAGCTAAAATCTAATTTATACCAGGGGAGTCTTTCTTCCCTGGAATGTGGACCGGTACCGGTACCGGGTCGGTTCTGAGCCTCCAAATGATTTTTCTCAGCAGCAAACAGCAAATCAGCTGCAGCAGAGAGCAGCTCGTCCTGCTGCAGCTGCAGCCTGACGTCTCAACATTTAGCTGGACAATATCAGAATCTGATCAGTTTTAATTATTCATATCAAACCTGATCAAACAGTTTGAGCCAAAATACCTCAGACATATCCACCAGGAGAATCAACTCATTGACGTTTAAACTCAGTTTCACACAAAGACGCAGCTTCAATGTTGTAGAACTGGACCGGTCCGGGTCGTCAAGGTCATTTCTGTTAGCAGCTTTATTATCTTTATTTTATAAAGGCTCATTAAAACTATCTATTCTCCCTCCATGAAGAATAAAACCTTTTTTGAGATATTATTTTGCTAACTGAACTTCTGACCGGAGCTTTGGATGCTCATTCATTATTACATATATTATCAAATATATATTGTTGTAAAAACAAATCACTTCAGAGTGAAATTGTATGTTTTTGATATTATAATGGCAGAAATTATTACCAAAAAAATTAATAATCAGCTGCACTGAGGGCCCTTAGTGGCCCGAAGCGGCTGCTTAGTTTGCTTCCGCCTTAGGCCGGCCCTGAGTGCGACAAACAGAACCTGGTTCTGGACCTGCCTGGAACAGTCCAAATGGACCTCAGGTTCTTTATGGTTCTGCTGGCTCCAGTTTTAGCTAAACGGAGGGTTTGTTCCGACCCAAGAGAATCAGAACCTGCTAGAACCCAGCAGGTCCGATGATGCGGTGGGATCATCTTCTTTCCGAACTTACCTGGTTCTGATGGTTCCGGTCTGAGCCCTCCTCCTTTGCCGTTGTTCTGGACCTTCAGGTCGAACCTGCCGCCGCTCACCTGGACCAGCTGCCTCCACCAATCCGCCGCTGCGCTGTGAGCTTTTTACCCATCAGGCTGTGCGGCAGAACCAACGATTTGTTAACGTTTTGTGGTTCTGATTCGGTTCTGGTCGATCGGTACCGCCAACAGGACGGGACTGGGAAAGACCCAGCGCAGCGCAGCAAAGCGCTATTGTCAGAAACGTCGGAACCAGAAACCAAACCGTCCGAGAACTGCTTCCTGTTTCTGCTCATATATTCAACCGCAACTTTATTAGCAGCAGCAGAACAAACACAGCACTTCCTGTCCCCAGGAAGCGGAACTACGTCAGAATCGCGTTATCAAAACGCTGTTTAATTTAATTAATACTCACCGCAACATGTCTGACATTCACCTCAGTTACAGCAGTAAAGCAGATAAATGTCAGAGCTTTAACTCAGGTCACGTGCAGCCGCTAGCCAATCAGCGAGCTGGTTAACCTTGATCATCAGCAGACTGATCTATAAATCATCTGGATGAGGTTCACCATAGAGACTGAACTTGTTTCATCAGCTTCTCTCAGCGTCCAAGGATTTATCCCATATTCTAATCACCAATTCATCCATAATGATACCGATAAGATCAATTTTGGAAATAAAACTTAAATGAGTTATATTGAATACTCGTACTCAGCCCATATGAACAGTATCTACTGACTTGTTGGTTGATGATAATCTCCCTCATTCTCAGAAATTTGACTGTTTGTCTCTTAGTTTTTGTCAGTTGTGCTTCCTGGAACATTATTGGGACTGGAACACACCTGAACAGGTGTGTTCCAGTCCTGAACAGGTGTGTTCCAGGTGTCTGAGTTTCAGTCAGGCTTCAGAGCTCTGTTGAAACCTCAGCAAAGTATTCTCTTGACCACAGATACAGGAGGGTTCTGGTTCTGTTACGTCTCAGCGATGGTTCTGATCCGATTCACAGCAACTTTTGTAGAAAAGCTTGAACATGTTGTAGAGCTCAGACCCGGGCTGGTTTGAATATCCAGTACCTGCATATGGATGGATGTTGGATGGATGGTGGTTGGATGGATGATGGGTGGATGAAGGATGGATCAATCAATCAATCAATCAATCAATCAAATTTTATTTGTATAGCACATTTCAGCTACAAGGCATTTCAAAGTGCTTTACATCATAAACACAAAACACAATGGCATGCAACATAGAATAAAATACCAAGTTTTTTTTTCCCTCTTTTTTCCCCTTCCCTTTGACACGGAATTTAAGCGCCTGTTACCGCTGGACTCCGCCGTCCGTTTAACCACGGGTATTCGCCAGGCCCCGTTGCCCACAACAGGAAAAAAAAAAAAAAAAAATTACATACATATCCACAAAATCAAATCCATACAATAAATACAATTCTAAACAGGTGTGTTTTTACTTGAGATTTAAAGGAAGTCAGGGTTTCTGCTGTTTTACAGTTTTCTGGAAGTTTGTTCCAAAGTTTTGGTGCATAGATGCTGAAAGCTGCTTCTCCTCTCTTGGTTTCTGGTTCTGGGGATGCAGAGCAGCAGAACCAGAACCAGAACCTGAGAGTCTGGAAGGTTGATACAACAAAAGCAGATCTTTGATGTATTGTGGTGCTAAACCGTTCAGTGATTTATAAACTAACAACAGTATTTTAAAATCTATTCTTTGAGCTACAGGGAGCCAGTGGAGGGACTTTAAAACTGCTGTTATGTCTCTATCTTCCTGGTTTTAGTGAGAACAGGAGCAGCAGCTTCTGGATCAGCTGCAGCTGGAGGATTGATTTGTTGGACAGGCCTGTGAAGACACTGTTACAATAATCAATGCAACTAAAGATAAACGCATGGATGAGTTTCTCTAGATCTGGCTGAGACATTAGTCCTCTAATCCTGGAGACGTTCTTCAGGTGATAGAAGGCCGACTTTGTAATTGTCTTTATGTGACTCGCAAGATTCAGGTCAGAGGTCATCACTACTCCCAGGTTTCGGGCCTGATCGTTAGTTTTTAGTTGTAATAACTGAAGCTGTGCATTGACTCTAGATCTGTAGCTCCAGATCTATAGCTCTAGATCTATAACTCTAGACCTATAGCTCTAGATCTATAGCTCTAGATCGTTCCTCTTTAGGTCCAAAAATAATGACTTCAGTTTTGTTCTGTTCAGCTGGAGAAAGTGAATGCTTCCACATCCACACATTTATCTGTTGTAAGCATTTATTCAGTGATTGGATGGGGTCAAAGGTCACCTGGTGACATCATAATGTAGAGCTGTGTGTCATCCGCATAGTTGTGGTAGCTTATATTATTTCCTGTTATAACCTGAGCTAGAGGGAGAATATAAATATTGAATAAGAGGGGTCCTAGGATTGAACCTTGGGGAACCCCACATGTGACCTTTGACCTCTTTGATGAGAAGTTTCCAATTGAAACAAAGAAATCCCTGTTCTTTATGTAGGATTCAAACCAGTCGAGCACCGAACCAGAGAGTCCAACCCAACTCTCCAGTCGATTCAGTAATATGTCAAAAGCTGCACTGAGGTCCAACAGAACCAGAACCAGAACCAGAACCAGCACCGTGGTTCTCCCACAGTCCGTATTTATATGAATATCATTGAATACTTTGACTAGGCCAGTCTCCGTGCTGTGGTAACCATGAAAACCAGATTGGAAAGAGTCAAAGCAGTTGGTCATCATGAGGAAACTATTTAATTGTTTTCACAGTTTTTTCAGTAACTTTGCTGATGAATGGGAGGTCAGAGGTCAAAGGTCGGCCTGTAATTCTGCAGTAGTGATTTGTCCAGATTGTGCTTTTTTAGCAGTGGTTTGATGACTGCTGTTTTCAAAGCCTGGGGGAAAACACCTGATGTAAGCGATGAGTATTTATATTCTTTGTTTTGTATTTAATTTGTATTTTTTTGTATTTTGCGTATGCTTACTGTGTGCCACATTTTTGCCTGTGAGCTGCTGGTAACTATAATTTCCTGAGGGAGTCTTCCCAAGGGATCAATAAAGTCAAGTCTAAGTCTAAGTCTAAGTCTAAGTTACTATTTGGATCAGATCAGTAACAATAACAGGCAGAACTTTCTTAAAGAAATGTTCTAGAGTTATAGATCTAGAACATCCAGATAGCAGGAGCTTGAACTTAATTGACTTATAATTTCTTCTAGGGTTTTATAATTAACTAGTTGAAAATGGGTCATTTTTCCTGTATTTGTTTTGTTTTGGTACAGCAACGGTTCTGAATTTAGAGTCAATGTGCAGATTAATCCTCTGATTTTTTGGATTTTCTCTGAAAAGAAATCAGAAAACTTATTACAGGCAACATTAGATTGGAATTCAGGTGGAAACGTCACAGGAGGGTTTGTGAGCCTGTCAACTGTTGCAAATAAAGTTCGAGCATTATTGATGTTTTTCTTTATGACATCTGCAAAGAAAGCCTCCCTTCCATGTTTTAGTGTTGAGTGATAGTTACGTAGTTTTTCTTTGTAGATGTCATTATGAACGTGAAGTTGAGTTTTATACCATTTTGGTTCTGCTCTGAGACAGAGTTCTCTTGCAGACCGAACTATTTGTGCTTTTCTCCATGGAGATTTCTTTCTACCAGTCAAAACCTTTACTTTAATTGGGGCAATGGAATCAATGATATATGAAACTTTAGACTGAAAATCATCTAACAACTTATCTACATCATTACAGCTTAAGGGTGAGGAAGAAGAGTAGATTTGATTAAATGTTTTCTGTGAAAGAACGTTTTGTGACAGCAGCTGTTTGTCCAAGTGGGTCAAAGAATAAAGAACCTTCAAAGATAACAGCAAAGTGATCCGACAGGCGACATCAGTTACAGAGACATTGGAAATATTCACACCCTTACTGATAACCAGGTCCAGTGTGTGTCCTTGAGTGTGTGTTGCCTGTTTAACATGTTGTGTAAAACCAAAATTTTCTAAAATATCAGAGAGCTTTTTTGCTCCTCTGTTTTCGGGTTTGTCCACATGAATGTTGAAATCACCAACAATTATTAAACAATCATAATCAATGCGTATGAGAGATAGAAGATCATTCAAGTCAGTAAAGAAATTTTCCACATATGCTGGAGTTTTGTATAAAGTCAGTGTCAAAGTTCGTTTGAAGCCTTTAACCTGAATTCCAAGATACTCAAAAGAACTGAAATGACCCAAAGAGATTTTACTACAGTTTATGGTATTTTTAAATATAGAAGCCACGCCTCCTCCTTTTTTATGTTTTCTGTTCTCTGGATGATGGATGGATGGTGGATGGATGGATGGATGGATGATGGATGGTGGTTGGATGGATGATGGATGGATGGTGGATGGTGGTTGGATGGATGATGGATGGATGATGGATGGATGATGGATGAAGGATGGATGGATGATGGATGGATGGTGGTTGGATGGATGATGGATGGATGATGGATGGATGAAGGATGGATGGATGATGGATGGATGGATGATGGATGGATGGTGGATGGATGATGGATGAAGGATGGATGGATGATGGATGATGGATGGATGATGGATGGATGATGGATGGATGATGGATGGATGATGGATGGATGATGGATGGTGGTTGGATGGATGATGGATGGATGATGGATGAAGGATGGATGGATGATGGATGGATGGATGATGGATGGATGATGGATGGATGATGGATGGATGGTGGATGGATGATGGATGAAGGATGGATGGATGATGGATGGATGGATGATGGATGGATGATGGATGGATGATGGATGGATGGTGGATGGATGATGGATGGATGATGGATGGATGATGGATGGATGATGGATGGATGATGGATGAAGGATGGATGGATGAGGATGGATGGATGATGGATGGATGATGGATGGATGATGGATGGATGGTGGATGGATGATGGATGAAGGATGGATGGATGATGGATGGATGATGGATGGTGGTTGGATGGATGATGGATGGATGATTGATGGATGATGGATGGATGGTGGTTGGGTGAGTATCGATCTGTCCTCACTGAGCAGAGTCAGACACTTCCATCTGTTGGTGAACCGGAAGTTTGTCTCTATCAAAATAAAAGCACACTGATTTAATGCTGAGCTCTTATTGTTTTAACAGCCATCACTGTTACATCATCAGGTCACATGGCTAAAGCTGATGGTGCATTCAGGATTGGCTCGTAAAGACCAGTCTCTCAGTCTGTCTGTGTCTCCTTCTGTCTGTCAATGTCTCAGCGGCGGCGGTACAGGATGTCCCAGCTGTCTCTCCACTTCAGCGCCTGCAACTGATTGGCTGTCAGCTCGGGGTTTCCGTAGGTGAGAGGACAGAAGGTCCAGTAGGACAGGAAGATAGACAGCAGGACAGCCGTCGTGCAGACGCTCAGCATGTGGCGGGACGTCCCGCTGCTGCGGACAGAAACAGAGCCATCACTGTCCACAGGAAGCAGAAGAGGAGCCTTTCAAATTAAAGGCAGAGCTAAAGCTGAGTGGGTGGAGTTAGCACGTCCTCCATGTTTTCTAACAACCCGATCTGTTCCCTGTCTCTGCGTGTGTACCTGAGCAGGTGAGTGTGTATGTGCTCCAGCAGGGCGGGGCTCAGCAGGTACAAGTAGCAGAGGGCGGGCAGGTAGTGGTAGAGGAAGAGAGTCCGCTCCATCAGCAGAAAGGGCAGGAAGTTCACTGCCCACCCGCCGCCGCAGACCAGGCCCACAGATGCAAACCGCTGCCACACACCTGCAGACACACCGGGTCAGAACCGCATCAGAACCGGGCCTGATGAAAGAGCCTGCCAGGAAACTGTACCATCAGGTAGGTCTTTGAAGCCCCGCCTCCTCCTCAGCAGGTACAGCGCCGCCAGCAACTGATAGGCCAGCAGGCTGAGGTTGGCCACGCCCCATGACACCGGGTTACCAATCAGATGGATCTGAGCCTGAAACAGCTAGCCAATCAGAGACCAGGACCAAATACTGTGTGTGTGTGTGTGTGTGTGTGTGTGTGTGTGTGTGTGTGTGTGTGTGTGTGTGTGTGTGTGTGTGTGTGTGTGTGTGTGTTACATTGGACGAGGGGTGGAGCCAGTACGCAATGTTGGTATCCATGGTGATCCACTCTAAAGGGGCGGAGCTGTACTTGTGTTCAGACTCTTCCTGTTTCACGGTCAGCATCTTCCACTGCAGTGACATCACAGTATGACATCATCAGAGGGATGGCAGCATCGCGGTGATGCGTTCACAGTCATACCTGGAGCTCCATGAATTTGGACCAGAAGGAGATTTTTCTGTCGACGTCAATGTGTGTCGGAGAGTGAAGCTCCGCCTCCCGGTCCTTCTGCTCCTGACCTGCAGGTGATGCATCATGGGAGATGGTGATGTCACTACATGAGGCCATCAGCTACTGCTACCCATACCATCATGTTCTCTTCCTATAGATGGGGCTGTTGACCTTTGACCCTGTCTCTCTGTGTTTAGATATCTTGGTGTCTTGTAACAACAGACTTTATCTGAGAATATGTCTTTCAGATTTAAAAACAGGAAACCACTGTGTTGTTTACGCTGCAATGCTTCCTGGGTAAATGACAAATGCTAGCTGCTACTGTGCTAGCAGCATCCAGACACCCTCAGTCCTTTGAGTGTGAATCCGAGAAAGAAAGATGGAGATGAGAAGATGAGGAGCACAGAAACAGCCGCTGGTAGCTAACCAGCTAACCAGAAAGGAAAGCGTAGCTCCAGTCGCTAAGTCAAGCTGTTTGCAGCTAGCATCGAGATCAAAATGGTGTTAGCAGGGGGTTTCCTCTCCACTGTCACTCCATGTTAGTGAAGGAATCTGGACTCCATGTTGTGACAGTCTGATAGCTGACTATCTAGACTCGGTTCTGCGGGTCGTACTGGTTCCGTATCGGTGCTCCTCCACCGTCCAGCCCAGGCTGCCGCTGTGAGCCTTCAGCAGCTTCTCTGCCACGACCTCCATCTGACGGAAACCCCAGTCTGGAAGAGGCAGGCCGCTCAGCTACACACACACACACACACACACACACACACACACACACACACACACACACACACACACACACACAGGTTAACTCTGCTGCTCTGCTCAGCCACTGCGGTGACATCACTTCCTGTGAGGACCTTGAGGACAGCTGAAGTGTTGACGTGGACCAATCGGACCTCAGAGACGATCGTCTTCCACTCCTCTGACTCCGCCTCCCTGTTGTAGATCTCCTGAAGGCAAATTCACAAAGACCAGGCTCAGCAGAACCAGAACCAGAACCGGGCTTGGTTCAGCCAGAGGATCAATAGAGGATCAATGATCAGTCATGCTTGGCTCTGTCCTGTGGCTCTTCCCCCTCCTGAACCCAGAGTAAAGTGTCCCTGGTTCGGTCCGGTTCGGTCGGACTCACCAGCCTCCACAGGTTCTGGGTTGCCATGGACACGTTGAAGTCTATGTATCCAGAAACCTCCTGAGCATGAGGACTCATGGGCGCGGCCACATCATGGCTGCCACAGAAGAAAAGGTCAACGCTGACCGCAGCACAGTGACATCACAGCAGGTGAGCTACGTACCTGTTGAGGAGGCGTGATGTCATCCCATGGACCAGCTGGATGATGTCACCGTGTCGCACGGGTCGGGGCGGAGAGTCCACCACCAGCTCCTGTCTGAGACACACACCTGCTGGAACCTCTCCACTGACCCGGTTCTGCTCTAGTTCTGACCCGGTTCTGACCTACCTGGCCGGGTCCTTGATGATCCACCAGTTGTTGACGTCCTTGAAGGCGTAGCAGGTCACCTGCTGCTGGTGGGAGCTGCCCCGCCCATTTTCATACCTGAACACAGAATCAGGAAGTTACAGTTTCATCCTCAGAGGCATCTGATTGGCTGCAGGGTGAACCAGCGGCACCTGATTGGATAGTTGGCTTTGTGCGAGTGGAGCCAGCAGGGGACGGGCCGGGGGGCGGAGCTTCGTAAGGTCACCTGACTACCGAACGCCACCTGCAGCGGCTGACCCCGTGTGACCCTGGAGAGACCGCCCTGAAACGGACAAGCAGTCCATCAGCTGCTGATCGATCAGAACCATTGATCTGTGATCGAACTGGACGTTGGGTGAATTATCGTTGCTTCGGATCGAATC